AACAGACAGAATCGATTAAATGAATTTGGATGATTTGAAAAGACCTTATCCGGAAAGAAGCCAAAGCACCAAACTATGCGGTTGATGTAACTGTAGACCGCCATCTAATGACCTGAATTGAGATTGAGCTGGATTGTCGTGACCTCTCCGAGATTTTCTGCCGCACAAGAGAGAAGAAAGCCATCGTTCCGCTCGGATAAGTCTCGAATGTTCGCGTGGTAGGGAGAGAGAGTATATCAATCCAGTGGTCTCGCCAGCCTGGCCTAGGTTCAAACAGGTCGATCGTTCATCTGACCGTCTGGTCTATACAGTCCCGACCACCAAGGTCATCAACAACAACGGATGCCACTTAAGCACATTTCTAGTTAACCAACCAAGCGGGTTCATATGCTCCGATGTTGAGTTTTCCGTTCACCTTTTGCATGATGGCAAGGAGTCGGCACTCGGAACCCGTCGACGAGTTTACCTGGTACGACTGGAACTGCACTAGAGTAGGCTGCACCCGCTGACATTGTCTGCGGGAACCCAATTGAGGCCGCCGCCTAGTAAGTAGTATCTTTGGGAGGAACAAGCCACAAGGGCAAGGTGGATATGCACTGCTCCTATAGTCTTGATAGAGTGTGAGTTTAGTTGAGGTTGCAAAGTGTCATCCAAACACTGGTTGAGCCCCTTGCCGCAGCCAACATAGACGTGAGTTCATTGTTAAAAATAAAAAAACTAAAATAAAAACTTACCATGATTACAACTATGTTGATATTCCAGTTCTGACCTCCAGCTCTGAACAATAGTTAGCTTGCAAGGGTTCGTTACGGGTATATATCTGCTTTGGCTAAGCCCATGCCATGAACTCCAGCGAGGCTCATGACATGAGGCGGGCCGACGGAAGGTTGATATGCATGTTGCCGTGGAAACTTATCACAAACAGAAAAGTCGAGGAGAAATGATATGGTCATGCATGGCGATCGGCCCGCTGGAGAGGGCGCGTTCTCGACGCACTAGTGCCGAAACAACTAGCAGACCTGCCTGTTTGACTTGTTATATGGCTGTGTCTTGAACAGGCTTACTAAACTGATACAGGCACGAACGTCTTCCACAACGGCTGCCGTTGCGGAACGTAAGTTGCTGCGAAACAGACGTTGCGGGCGCTGCTTGATTCGCCGACGGGCTCGAGTAGTAGCTATGGTCGAGGCCGCCTAGGCCATGCTCAACCCATTTCGCCGATGTGAGACCCCATGATACAACGATGGCACTGGAGTGATCATTTGCCTTATTGTGAGACTCAGGAATCGTGCCTGGTCATCCGCTGCGTGATGTTCTTCTGCGCATGTGGCTCTTTCATCTCCAAAACTTCATAGGAGTTCGGTGGGCCAAGAGCGCAATGCAGCACGCAACGATAAGATCGTCGGGCAGAACCATCATGTCCAAGATAGATGATGGAGCCAAACAATGTTCATCGCCGACAGTCCCGAACAGCAGCCGAGGAACCCATCGTCACTGGTGTTCGCAAATGTCGAGGTCGTGGTACTTGGTGTCCAATAGTGATCCTTCTGAAACATACTCGATGCAAGGGCAAGGAGAGAAAGGGAAGAAACGACGTCAACGAAGGAGGGGAGGTCTGACTAACCTTCCTATCGATCGATCCCTCGCATCTTAGCTCGCCGCTCATCATTTCCCCTGTTACCTCACCAAGCACCATTCCCTCCCTCTTCGCGTTGCACGCTTCAGCGGACCCTCCCGCAGCCACAGTCGACGTCGAGGTCCAGAACCCTTCACAGCCACAATCAATCATCTGAACCCAGGACCAAATCTTAAGCAGGCCCTTCCACCAATCGCCGGTGCTCCCTCGCTCACCATCCCACGGTACGGGGCCACTTGGCGCCCTCCGTCACTGCCAAAACAGCTGCGCCCCAGCCACAACATGCACACATCGTCTGCTGCTCAGCCACGCCTACGTCACCTCTCCTCTCAATGAGCTCTTGGCATACAACACCACCACCACCACAGGCAAGCGAGAACCTGCCAGCCAAGTTTGAGGACCCTGCGCCATTGGATCAATCAAGAAAGGTTGGGGAAAGCAAGCGAAGGGGTGTCTGCTAGTTCGTTGTCGTTGCCTTGTTCAACCAAACCCCCGGTGGCCTCTGTCTCCCCGTCTCCCTCGTCACCACTGCTGCACCAAGACGTATATAAGATACTGTACCTCGTCCGCCTTCTTGGCCTTTGCCCAGTCTTACAAGTCCTGATCCAAGCCACTACAAAACAACAAGCTTTTGTACCTACAAATCAATACCTCAAGGTAAGCTTCGCTTATTTCCATTCCACGCCTCCGCGCTCCGGCTCCTTGGAATTTTCAAAGTATCTGAATCTCAGTCTGACGTTGCGTCCAGCAAACACCAGTACCTACGCAGACCACCAAACACAACCATGCCCTTCTTCTACTCCAAGCCCATCGGCGGCCGCAACTTTGGCACCAGCGTCCACGCAGACCGTCACGGCGTTCGCCGCGGTCCCTGGCGCTTCCGCATCGGCCGTTTCCACTGCTTCAGATAGGCGCGACGCCGTTCCCACGGCGTCAAGGTGTCGGTACGATGACGAACGCAACACTTCCTACTCTGCCCGAACGTTGAGGCCGCCTTCCCCACCTTGACGACAGCCACCACAGACACCGACCACAATATTTCCTTCATAACGAGATCATGAATACCAGGCGTTTTCATTTGCGATTCCGGGATGGGAAAGCGAGCGTTTCCTGTCCATCTTTGTCTGTCCTTATTGTATTCATCTCATCACCGCGACCAGAAAGATGGTCGTGATATGATGAGGAACGACGAAATACCTATGTAGATAATACATCACTTCAAAAACACGGTGGCGAGGTATCTCTTATGCCGTGGTTCCAATCGTGATGATGTATTTTGGATGTGCAAGAATTTGAATTACTACGGGAGTTTCTGCCCTGCTCGTGAACCTACTACTGATAGAACACAATTAACAATATTAAAAGATTAGTTAGGTAGACCTGCTCCACAAATGTGTATTGCGCACTGCGGACGAGCAGCCAGTACACTTCGTGACAGGTTTTCATCGCGGCCTGATCGATCAACTACCTGCTGTTACTACCATCTTCACGCTGCAAGGAGTTGCTTTAAGGACAGACTGTGGAAGACTCTCACAACTAGAATGCTTGACAGTGACATGTCAGACAGCTCAGGCGGTATTCACAGGTCCTTGATGGAAGCATATTTTGAGATGACTGCCTCACAACATCTAGGCGGATCCCATAGGCAGAGCCGTTCTGTGTGTACGACATGGAGTGTCCTTCACTTGCACACGGAAGAGTGACGAGGAGTAAGAGGGGCCAAAGGGGTTGGTGATATTCTCGAATTGCCGAGCATATGAAGGATTCTGTTTTTCCCTGCCCCCGTCCAACGCCATTTTGTGTCTTTGTCAATATCAGACGTAAGTAATGAGAACAACACGCCCTGAAAAGAACATCAAGTCGTTGAATTTTTGGGTTGTGGCTGCGGTTGTGTTTTGTTTTTGTATTTCCTAGCACAACGGTACGAGCCATGCCAAGCCGCAGCCCCGAATCATCGCCGCAGCAGAAACCGTATTCTGATGCATTCCCGTTCCCTGGATATGAGAGAGCACAGCGCAAGTGACCGGCGAAAACCAATGACCCCCTTCGCCCCGAATAGCTGATTCCACGCCACCATTCCTGGCTTTGTTCGCTTAAACCTCGGTGGTGACCTTGGCCTTGGGGTTCGTGACCTTGACGCCAAGCTGCTTCGCGCGGGAGATGATGTCGATACGCTTTCTCGAGGAGACGTTGTGGGCGATCCTGCGAGGGGTTGTTAGCTACTTTGCCGGGATTTTCAAGGTCCTCGCCACTCAGCATCGGGAGGTGAACGTGGCGAGGGTCATGTAGGGGTGGTACGCACTCGGCAGCGTAGGTGCGGTTGTGCATCAGCAGGAGGTTGACGTCGTTGACGTTGCTGACGAGGAAGGCCTTGTGGCCGGAGGGCATCATGTACTTGGTCTTCTTGTTGGAGCCGAAGCCGATCTGTAGTGCGGGAACACGGGTCAGCAGTTGTTCATCTCCAAACCAACCCGTTCATAGTCGTTTGCCACCACAAAATTCCTCCTTCTGACGGTTCAGATCTAGCGGGAAGGTGTTCCACGTACCGAGGGCATAGCAGTGTTACCCCTGAAGCGACGGCGGACGCGGTTGTCGATACCCTTGGGTTTGCGCCATGATCGGTCAACGCGCATAAAGCGGTCCGACTGGTGGCGGTTGAAGAGCTTCGTGCCTGTTCAAAATCACACCCGTCAATCCTCTCGTTCACAAATCGGAAGTTTGACTCGTCGGTAGTGTGTATCATCGTCGTTGTCGGGCGCGCGGGGTCGTGGAGGGGCGGCCAAGGTGCGCAGGCTGTTGGGAGGGAAAGAACATACGCTTCTTCACGATAGGAACGTGCTTCTTTGCGGCGACCATCTTTACGGAAATCAACGTCAGCAATCAATCGGAAAAACGACAATAAGTCGATCGTGAGGGCGGCGGCAATTGAATCTCACCTTGACGGCTGTTCCTGGCTATTGGTTAGTCGGGGCGGGTGTTCGTCGTCAGAGTCGGAGGCGTTAAAATTTTGAGAGATGGATTTAGATGGGAAGGAAGTTGTGGGAGGGAGCCACAGGGCTTTTTGGCAGTCACGTGTGGGCCAGCCGAAAAAAAAAAAATTGTAGGTGCACTGTGCAAGTGGTCCCTGCCAGTCCATTTTGGAACGCTACCGGTCGTGGTGTGCCGCAGGGCCTCTCTCTCAATCCGTGGCCAATGATACGAGAGAAGGCAGTGGATAGTTGAAATAAAAAAGAAAAACTACTGACCCGCTAGGTGCCCCATTGCTCGTGCAGTAACGGTTGTAGTGTTTCCTCCTGGACTCCAATTTCATCAGTGACGCATATGGTCATCTGACTACCGATAATATGACAAGCAAAAGTGAAAGTTCCCACACCGAGGTTCGAACTCGGGACTCTCCGGATCTCATCAAATGAATGAAAGCGGAGTATACTAACCACTATACTATATGGGAGTGGTCATGGTTGACTACCTCGACTTGAAACCTCTTCATGTAGACTACTCACTGGTGAGCAGCATCACGTAATGCGAATGAGCAGCACCCAATCGTCTTCATCTAAATGAGTCTCTGTTGTTTGCTTTACTGCACTTAGATTGACCTGTCACGACATTGTTTTCATGCATACATACATTACCTTTTTGTGAAATTAAACGTCACCTTGTCTGATGCAGTGTAGACTGGTTAGGCGTAATCCATTTGCTTAGCAGGACGAATCCAGCGATGAGATGGAATTATGGGACAGGGGTTGGTCGCCTTCAAGAGTCACAATTGTTTACTTTGGTTGCACAAATGCGTGGAAATTGAGAAGTGACATGGCACCCATACGTGGGCTGCCTTTCATTCATGAGGGGGATGATGCCCAACCTAACAAGCAAAACTCCTCTCCAATCCCTATCTATGGTCACCCTACCCCGTCCGGGTCGTCATGTCTGTCGTGAGGTTCAGGGCTTCAAGCCCAAGACTCTGTCCTCTAAAATCTTTATCATCCTAACGCGTCCTTACTGAGGCTGGCACTGAGGCTGGCCGTCGTCCTCTTCCTCGTCCTCCCATTCGCCACCGCCGAATCGCGGGTCGCTCGAGTTGGCACCCATCTGTAGACATGCGTTAGCGCCAGTTCTGCATTTCATCGACAGAACATGTCGGAAACTTACCGAATCCAGGCTGTCCACCTCCTCGTACTCGACCTCGTCAACTTCCTCGGCCTCAATCGGCGGAGGCGGGGGCGGAAGAAGCTTGTTCAGGGCATCGTACTCCTTGTCGTCCTTCAACCAGCCATCCTCGGGGAACTCGACGTTGACAATCAGGTACAAGTCACCTTTGGCCTCGCCGCGCTTGTGAGGCATACCCTCGCCAGGGACCTTGAGAATGTCGCCAGGGCGAAGGATCTGGCCGCGAGGTCTCTCAATGTGAATACCGCGACCGTCGAGGTGCGTCAAGGCAACCCGGGAGAAGCCACCAAGAGCCTCGGCCAGGGTGACGTTCAGCTCAGCAGACAGATCGTTGCCGATGCGGGTAAAGTCGTCGTGGGGCTCCTCGGCCAAATGGAAAACGATGTCTCCAGGCGTCTGGTCGGGGAACTGGTCCGCCTCGCCCTCCAACACGATCCTCTCGCCGTTCTGGGAGCCTCTGGGGATGTAGATCTCGAGGACCTTGGTCTCGGATGTCGTGCGCTTGCCCTTGCACTTCTTGCAGCGGTCCTTCTCCTTGTAGAAGTTGCCGGATCCCTCGCAACGGTCGCAAATGACGGTCTCCTTGCGCACCAGACCCGGACCGACCTGGCGGAAGGCCTCCGCCATACCGGCGCCCCTGCACTTCTCGCACTGTTGGGGCTTGACGTTCGCCTTGGCGCCGGATCCCTTGCAGGTACCGCAGACAACCTGCTTGTTTGCAGAGAACTTGACAGTCTTGCCCTTGTACAGCTCCTCGAGCGTGACTTTGTAGGGCTGGTCCTCGTCGGGACCGCGACGGGGTCTTCTGGGACCGCCGCCAGGGCCTCCGGGGCCGCCCATGCCCATGCCAAACATTTGTGACAGAATATCGTTCAGGTCGACTTCGACGCCGCCGGGGCCGCCGGGGCCGCCCCGCGAGGGGTCGAAGGCAGCCATGCCGTGGGTATCGTAGAGGTGGCGCTTGTCCTCATCCTTGAGGATTTCGTAGGCCTGGCTGACGGCCTTGAACTTGGCCTCTGATTCTTCTCTGCGGTCCTCAGGGACTTTGTCGGGGTGGTGAAGAAGGGCAGCCTGAATGGGGAAATGACGAGTCAGCACCTAGTGTTTTTGCGTGTGTGCGACGCTGTCGCTGTTGTGGTCGCAACCGCAGGGAATATCACGAACCTTGCGGTATGCCTTCTTGATCTGATCCTGCGAGGCATCCTTATCGATCCCAAGGAGCTCTGGAAGAATGCGTCAGATGTGATCCACAGCGAAAAAAAGTACCCCCCAGGCTCCATCAACAGAGACTTACCGTAGAGATCAATGTCTTCCTCCCCCGACATGTCAGGACCGGCACTCGGTCCACCACTGTCCATGATTGAGGCTTTTCGAAGGGTACTCGGGCTAAAGATTTGCTCGAGATTCGACCTTCAAGGCGTGATTTGGAGATGTGAAAATGGTGGGATGTGGAGTAGACTTGAAAATATTTTGTCTGGAGTACGGGAACGGGACGGTGTACACACCTGTCACGGCGGCCTGTGTTTGGCGGGGTACATGCAGTGCCTTACGGGGCGAGCGGCCCCTACGATCCCTAGACGAACGGCCCCCAGGCTCCCCTCAGAGCGCGCGGCAGATATCAGGTAAGCTACCCCGTTCTGTGGCCTGGCAACCTATCCGCCTGCACTTGTTCATCAGCATGGCGGTGCCCAGCCACCTTTTTCCCCTGGTTGCTGTACATTCATTTCCTTGAGTACGGATAGTATGGGAGCCTCCTTGGTCTAGGGCTGCAGCGGATTTTCTTACCAGCTACCAGACATGCTGAAGCCATTGAGTTGCACGACTGTTTGGCTTTTCGTTCCAGAAGACAAGCTTATGTAATTGCCGTGTTTACTTTCACAGGCAGAAATCGGTCAAGGAGCCCGAGGCTACCGAGAACGGGGTCTCTGGAGCACTGAGCCCAAGCCCTGGAACCATTCGTGATACCGAACTTTCTCCCAGTTTGGGCACACTGAACCGAGTCTTCTGGCTGGATCTCGGACATGGGGCTCAGATACCACCGGTGTCATCCGAATTTGTCCGTGAAACCTAACAAACAGGTTCAAGATTTCTGGTCGGACGACATGGTACTGTTTCTTGCACTGACTAGAGGGCGCACACACAATTCAGTCGCTAGCCATTGGGTTCTCTAGCAGCATCATTCCTTGTATCCGTGCAGTACACAACCAACAAAGTGCTGAATGGGTATCTTGGTGGCGATGAGCCGGTCTGCCAGGCCGGCATTGAACGATGTACTGCCGTGTGAGTCGGTACCTCGCTTGATACATATTACATGCGCCACAGGTGGCTGAAGCTCATCGACAAATTTCATACCCAAATCAGTTCATTCATCAACGTCAACGGCTCTCCGGTGACACTCTCACAGCGTCGTAATAAATGTTTATAAAATGTCGACGATAGCCCTGAGACCGCAGGGCAGACCCATTCTTCAGCGCTCGCTTTATGCATGCCATCAGTGCCGAAGCGTGGGTTCCCCGAGATGGCACTCGTCCGCGAAGGGCGGTTTCCAGGCGCTGAGAAAGAAGCTGCCGCCGCTGGCCGACAAGAGGCTTCGTGAGCTGCCCGACAAGCCGGCTAGGACGCGCTTCGCCCCCTCGCCTACGGGATACCTTCATCTCGGGTCTTTGAGGACTGCACTTTTCAATTGGCTCATTGCACGGGCTACTGGCGGGCAGTTCATCATTCGGGTTGAAGATACGGATCGGGTGAGTCGAGGCTCGTCACTTGAGGTGGGCACCGAAAGACTAACATACTCCAAAAGACCCGTATCGTTGATGATGCCGTCGAGCGTCTACTCGCAGACCTCAAATGGGCGGAGCTGGACTGGGACGAAGGCCCCGACGTCGGCGGTCCCTACGGACCCTACGAACAAGTAATCCCCCACCCCTCACCCCCTTTCATCGCCATATCACCCATCTAAACTTGCCGCAGTCAAAACGCCTGGAGTACTACAAAAAGTACACCGCCCAGCTTCTCAACGAGGGCAAGGCCTACCGTTGCTTCTGCACGGCGCACGACCTCGAGCGCCACAAGCAGCAGGTCCTCGACGGCGGCGGCGGCTCCGCGCACTACCCAGGGACATGCCGCGGCATCCCGCCGTCCCAGGCCGAACGCCGTGCCGCGAACGGCGAGAAGCACGTCGTGCGCTTCCGGAGCGAGGGCCGCCCGTCCTTTGTCGACCGGGTCTACGGCAACTACCAGAAGAACGAGGACGAGGACGACTTCATCCTCGTCAAGAGTGACGAGTACCCGACCTACCACTTCGCCAATGTGATCGACGACCATCTCATGGAGATTACCCACGTCATCCGCGGTGCTGTTCGTCTCCCTTCATGCTTACCCCCTCTCTGCCACGTATCTCCAGGTCAACTCACACCAAGACAGGAATGGCTCATCTCAACGCCCAAGCACATCGCCCTCTACGACGCCTTCAAGTGGGAACCCCCGACCTTCGCCCACGCCGGCCTTCTCTGCGCCCAGAACGGCGAGAAGCTCAGCAAGCGAAACCACGACATCGACATCTCATCGTACCGCGACAAGGGCATCCTCCCCTCGGCGCTGAACAACTGGCTTGCGCTACTGGGCTGGAGCATAAACGAGAAGGACCTCGCCAAGGGCGGTGAGGTGTTTTACACCACCAACGAGCTTGCTGAAAAGGTATGTGCCGGCGCCCCCACCGTCTCGAATCGGGAATGGAGACCCTGTGATGAGCGTCTTACTCACGTCATCTTACAGTTCTCTCTCAGGTTCACGAAGGGCAACATCAAAACCAACCCAGACAAACTTGCCGTCTTCCAACGCAAACACCTCACTCATCGCCTCCGCGAGGAGAACGCGGACGAGGAACTTCTCAAGCAAGCCCTCCTCCCGCCAACAACCAGTCTCCTCGCCCACATCTCATCTCTCCTCTGCCCGTCTTCCACGGAACCCCCCTCCTCTTCTGAAGAGGCCTCACCCGCCGAGGACACATCGGCGGCCACAACACCTGAGATCCTCACCTCCTCAACCAACCCAAAACACTTCTTCTCAACGGCAGACTTCACCTCCCTCACACCCCTCCTCTCTTCCCCCTCCACATCTCCCGCCCACCTCCTCCAAATCTACCGCACACTCGCCGCCGACTCTCCCATCGACCCCCTGGACCTGGTCCACGAGCACCCTTCCCTCTTCCTCCGCCCCTCGGCGCACGCCTACACCCGGTCCCTCGAGAACCTCTCCCTCCCAGACACAACAACCCCGCCCCCG